ACTGTCTAACCTTATTAAATACCTAATTGTAATACTTGCGAGCTCGAACTCGGCCATTCTGTTACTGTGACTAGAACTCGTTGGAGCTTGCGTGCAACATTAAGCCTTGAAGCCCCCTTCTACACGGTTCTGCCCACACCTCGTTCCAACGCTTCACAGCCTGGGATAGGACGATCGAAGATGAACGCTGATCTAGTCAAGTGATTGCGATATCTCGAAATTCCAGGTGGCGGTACTTCCTCTGGAATTCCTTTCGCAGCCGGCAGTGGTTCCGTGGCTGCTGCCGTGTCCTTCCGCTTTCCTTTAGGATCGCGCAACTGCGCGCTACGCGAATTTCGGGGAGAAGTTACCACAACCTAAAATTCCTGATATGCGCATACAACTGAGTAGTGCCCCTTTATGGGTGCTCCCCGAAAAATTCCAAGAAAAATCATTACTATTGTGAAATTTCGGGGATGCATTCCCTGACAACCTTACTTAAGGTCAACTTCTCTGTAGGCATTATGGGGGCTTCCAATAAATAGGCAAATTTCGCAATACTTCCATTTTCTGCATGGCTGATGCGATTTTCCTGTTCGCTTCATAAGTTCTAAGGTATTCTTGTCGACGTTGAAGGAACCCTTTTAGTGTCATGCATTTAATCAGAACCATATTGCATTATATAACCAACTGAATACATATTTCGCCTATACGTATGTAGATATGATAGTCAATTTCAAAGTCAATGTTTTTATTGTTTTATTGATGGGAAACCCCTGCCAGATCGTCATCAGATAGGGAAATGGTCGAGATGTGTTGCATAGGAGCTTAACTAATATCTAGTTGACACCAAATCACCAGAAATAAGAATAAATGAAGTGAGTTGAGCTGGCAATGCATGTTGTGCACGAACGTTTTTAACAAATCAACAAAATGAGAAAATTTGAAGTTGACAATCCAGTCAAGAGGTAGTTGAATAGCAATTACGGTTGACTTCTTTGCAGTTTTTTCCTATCTTTCTTAACAGCTAAATTTCATTATATCCAAACTCTGAGTACCTGGTAATAGGAAAGGCACTTTGCAGTTAATCTTGTCGAGAAATTGATCCGAATGTTGGCTACCCTTTTCCTCAATATGGGCTGAATCAAAGTTTCAGGCACAGCTGCATCGGTGGGAGTGGAAGCGAGAAAAGCCGTAGAATTGCAAAATATAAGGGTTTTCAGAGCGAGTTGCATTCGGGGGTTGTACGAGTTCACAAATGACACTAGAGGTTTTTGGACGAGATTTCAGTCGCGTACAGTAAAGTGTGCCACAGTATCCTAATTATCAAAGATTGCTTTTCACTGCTTCTTTGGTTGGGTGAGGAACCCGAACAATCATATGTTTTATCCCTATCCCTGACCTTATTGCGCCCTACCAGTTCGCTTTCCGATCATGGAATTCTTGAAGGCCAGAAATTCGTCATGTGGGAAATCTCATAAACTATTTTATGGTTGACTGTATTTTTATGCAATTTCGGATCTTCAAGTCTCAGCAGCAAAAAACAAAAGTAAACAGGCCGTTTGTGGCATTCAGAACACTGTTGAGAAAAAAACTGAACAGGTGATATACGAGTGAAATCAATAGAATCATTTGGTGATTAAATTTGTCAAAAATCCGGGCGTAAGGGGTACATGGACCAAGGAATGGGTGTGGCCTGTTGCTGGTCTTCAGTGGAAAACTGGCCAAAAACTGTCGAAAGCAAGAGATGAGCTGCCTTTTTTTGCAGTTCAGTCACTGGGTATTTGAATGACTTGTCGCTCTTTCATACCACTTCGAACTTGACGATACCAGTCGTTCACCTGATCCGACTGCTGCAATTTCTGACTCAGCTAATCGTGGTGACTAGTCCTATTTTCTCCTAAGAGTTGAGCTCTCTTCTTTAAAGGCGAGAGGGAAAAGAATGTCAGAACAATAGATATATCTGCCTCTTCTCTTTTAGAAAGAATGAACCCATCACCTCACAGATAGCCTAAGGGAGCCTGAGGGACGATCAAGATAGGGGTAGGTGAAGCCCCAAAACCGACTTGACCGACGTACACACCTGTTCGCACCGGGACCCACAACTTACACGCAGGCAGCCCACTGCAGCCAGCTGAGTGCAATGGCGCGCACATTTGGACAGCTCGTCCAAATATCACTTCCATGTAACTTCTGCTGTGACATTCTCGTCCAATCCCTAATTTTATTTCCTTTTCGAAAACTTTCCTTCTGAATTTCTATGTTTTCTTCGCTTCTTTTGCACCATTATAGACTACCCCTTCCCTTACTCGGGCATCAAGAGCACAGTATATGATAATTTTGGGATATCTTTAACTATCCTTTATTCCACCCATTCTTGATAGTCTGGAATACTTTTTTTTACACATGCTTTTTGCAATTTCAGCGATTCTGTTCCCAAAGACTCAACCACACTGGCGCAGCCGACAGCTGAAATGCCCAAGTCCAAGAAGAAAGGCGCAGCTCCAACTCCTCCTGAGCCCGAGCCAAATGCCACACCAGGTAGTTACTCTCTCAGAACTGCGTTCTCGAGTCATTGATTCGGCCTCTGCTTGAAGTTCGGATTAGGAATGATAATAGAGAGTTCCGTCACTAGTCAGTCTCAACGATTATTTGTAACACCGGCATTTGATGGAGTAGGCGATGTGTCATATCAAAAGAAATTTCTTCACGAGGCAAAGACTGATAACAGTTCTTAATACTTAATAGTTGTGTGTTCGTAGTGAATGAGTCGACTGGCAAGCCGGTGGAGAGTGCTGTTGAGGAGGACGTCAATTCTGGGAAAGAAGATCTGGACAAGCAGTTGGAGGAGAAGTCAACGATGTCAAAGGAAAAGGTATGAAGTCAATCCACTTTTAAATTTGTTCTCAACATAAGTTCAAATCTAGCGATTTGACGCTTCCATATCGAGAATAGCGAGCCGTACCAGAAATCCTCTATTGAGCTTAGGTCCTCATGTTTCAGCTGTAATCTACTCCATTTATGACTCGTATAATTCGAAGGTTTCATCAGTCATCAGCAATACTTCATAGTTGTCCTACAAGGCTTCAATCCCAATAAGTCCATTTAAAACCAGAAGAGGCGATCCGTATAGGTCGGCAGTTTGTGAATGTCCGTCTTTTTTGTAAGTGTTCCGATGAGATAGCTAACGGAAAAATTTGTCTCTTTTGATGCCGGAACACAGTCTTGCCTGAAGGTCTTGGTCTTCTCTTATGACCAGCGGAACCTCGGTATTTCTGATCCGCACTGCGTGAAATTTCGGAATTGCAGATAGTCGATGGCAGGGCGGAATAGGCGTCGGTAAGGCTCCTAAAAGGCAAACGCTACGCTATCTGTTCCGCTTTGGACTTTAACAGTGTAGCCTTTTCACTTTGGTAGGTGATTTGGAGTGCTCGGATGGTTGATGATAGCAGATGATAACAATCGATAACCATTGAGAAGTGATCATGGAAGGCAAGAAGTTAAGGATTGTGGTGTGGAGTGTCACAATGTAGATACATGGCCATGAATCGCCATCCCTGTGAGACAATGTAGATGGTTGGTAAGACAGCTTGGTAACAGTCAAAATGGCTTCGAGCTGTCGCTATTGGTAGTGGAGCTTTGTCACTTTCAGTGTGGGGACGACTGGATTGCAGGCCAAGAATGACAAAAGTGATAATAACTAGGATGGGAAAACTTGAAAGGTAGAGGACACTAGGGTTCTTCTCCTCCCTCCCCACCCCCCCCCCCCCTTTCACCCACTCGTAATGGACCCTTGTTTTCGTATTTGGGATGAGGCTTGAGAATTCAGAATGTCAGTGCGCCACAGGACGGAATGGTAATTTTAGGCTGACAGAAATGACACCAGTGGTGATAGGAACTTATAAAAAATATTCACAAAAAAGAGGGGCAATAAGCTACAACTTTACCATTGGTAACTTTGTTAATGGGACCACAACATTAATGAGTCCCATTTGAGGCTTTGGTTGTCTGATCAGGTCGCTCAAGAGTAAAAGAGTTGCGAAAGGAAAGGAAAAGACAGATAATCCGAGAATGAAGAGGATTATGTCTGTATTGGAAGATGAATAATACATAAGTTTAACAAGAATAGATCGAGACTATATAATCGTAGACATAATCAAAGGTGTGATGGGGGAGGAATCTACTGTGCTCAGCTGCATTTACACGGGTTTCCGCGACTTCCTCCAGGCTACCTCGTCAGGATGACGGTCTAGAATGGTACCCTTGCACTTTTGAATAGTAATCGGTTAGTTCTTCTATCATTCTAGTTCTTGCATAAAGTCTGTATCTATCCCGCTATGTTCCTTTCCTAAAAATTCAAAATTTCATCTATATGGATAAGAAATGTTTCTGAGCTCCACTTCAGGCCTACAATGTGTTAGAGTTAGAGTCACAGACACATGGTGAAGTGAGTTCCTCAACCCCCCCCCCCTACCCATCTCCATCCCCTCCTCGGCAAGATTATGAATCAACTATGAGGACGACCAATCCTTTCCAGAGAAATTACATTCCCGTTTTCTACTGGGAATCATAGAGCTGATAACTTTTATTGGACCTTCACAAGGACTTTGCACTGGAGTGGTAAGAAAGTGTTGACTCGTTCCATCTTCCAAAATCAACAGATGATGAGATTTGCTCAACAATATAATAATCGCCGCCGTTGTTAGTGTCTCACCTGATAGGCAGACCCCCTTCCGCTAAACAGGGAAAGCAAAGGGTCGCAGAAATAGCTGACTGTTCTTCCGATATCACTCTGGTGCAAATTTTCCTTTCAAGATAGCAATGGTTTAGGGATTCTGTAATTCGTGATTTGGAATAGGTTGGCCCTTAAGCTCAGCCATTTTTCTCGAGAACCGCTCCAGAATTTTTTGGAGCTAACTGGCATAACCGACCTTGGGTCCAGTTACAAACCAATCCTTTCACGGACGTCGAATTCGATCCACTTTCTTTCCGCGTGCCTGGTGCTCGGTTTTATAGCAGCACGATATCATCCCCAAAATGGAGATGATTTTTTTATTTCAAATGACGCATGACCCACAGAACCGTATTACCCTTGCAAACCGTCCAGCGAATTTCACAACCCTTGTATTCCGCTACCCCTGGTCAGGCCTTTCCTTTTGCCTACACTATCGACTCCATATCATCTATGTATGTCCCCGTTTTCACTGAGAATCACTTTTTTAGTAGTGTTATTCAGTAGTGTGTCCACGTTTATTGTTCATATTATTTTAATCCTAACACTTTTTTTTAGGAATAAAAAAATAGACGTATCAATACAAGTGTCAGTTTCCAGCTGGCACTTTTTATCAGCTCGAAATTTTAACAGATTCTCTTGCCGGGATTTAACAATTATTTTGTTGTTTTTACCACTGAACCCCTTCGCCCCTGCTTTCGTTCCTTCAACATGGCAGCTTCAAATATAAATGCTCTCAAATAAAGGGAAGGAACCTTATATATTTGGTGACCATCGCTTTCCATCACTATTTATCACTTTCTATCTGCTATCACGGTCCATCAACCAGCACTTCTATCTCTCTTTCCTCTCTCTATCAAAATCATACATAAAAGCGCCAAGGGTGCCACATCGTCGGTAGCTCTGGTCTCCTAACGCCTGTTATCAGTCCTTATCAGTCAGGCTTCTCATAACTCACCATATGCGATCCCGTTACTCATCGTTCGACAAACGTGATATGAAAAAATATGAATCCGTGAAAAACAAATTGATTGGACCCGGATTCGTTCTTAGCAGACCCAACGCCTAGTCTGAGTTCTTATCATTTGATACTCCTTTTTCAGCAAACACCAGTGTCCTTTCTGCTCACCACCACTCCCTCCCCCCCCCCTCCGAACTTCAGTCCTTAGCGAAGACCTTGTCATTTTTTTAGCTGGGCGAGCTCGTGGCGTAAACGCCCGACCGACATCTACTGATTGATATGCAGTGCAATAGCGAAAAATGTAGTAGAATCAGGTCACTAAAGCGGATTAAGCAGTTGCTTTCGTCAGCACTCCCCCTCTTCTGAAAACGCTTTGCTTAATAGAAAGCAGCTGTCCTCATTAAAACATCATATCGATTTGTAATAAATGAATAAATATCGAAGATCGCTCAGCAGTTTTTGACGGTAGATTACGCGGTTCTTGTTCTATATTATGACTTACATTAAATTTTTATTTTTTTGAATTTTAGTTTTTATCTTAATCATTTAATTTTTTCATCATTTCAACCCGAAACATAAATTACCTCAAAGGCGCAGAAGTTTGAGGTAACTGTTTAGGTTGAAAAACGGAAGTGCTGATCTAGAGGAGTTCAGAGTTTTGAACGAGATTAAAGGCACAGTTCACGATAATTTTGGGTAATCCAGATTATGATGAAAAATGGAAGACAAGATGGAAACTAGGGCGACTGAGGTGAAGAAAATGCGTGCATCCGTGTTTCCAAAGTGAAAACGGCTTCAAAAAACCGTTAAAAAGGGAGCTAGACGAGAATGAAACCAGAAAAATGAAGAAGAGTGGGGCGTCCGGACGAGCTAAGCAGTGTGTTTCACTGCGCGCGTGTGGGTTCTGGTGCGAATATGAGACAATACATAGTAAGCAAAAATTCATTCACTTATAAGCATAAATAAACAAAAAAAAACCTTAGTGACAGCAATAGTAGTTCACCTTTTTCAGCCTCTTGGAGTAGGAAATTGAATAAGGGATCGCGGCAGCAAAAAGAAAAACAGAAGGAAAAAGAATGGGAGAAAAACATCGCCTCATCACTCGGCGACTAGCTGATTGTGCGTGGGTCCTAGAACGAATAATAGCAATCTGTATTGTCTTGACACTCGTCTAACGTGACACCGATCGAGAGGCGGGAAAACGAACTACGACAGCAACGAGGCTTCCACTATGCCCTAAGCGCCGAGATTGTGGGAGCGAGAGGGTCCCTTCTACCTGCCCATGGGGGGCGCTGAATATTCCTAAAGGAAGAACTCGGTAACCTTTTTATCGTAAACCGTGTCTTTAACCTTGCTCCTATTGCACAACGGCATAACTACATCAAGCCGAGATTGTCCAAAACTGCCTTTCAGTGTCGTCATGGGTTATGTCAAGTTGTTTGAACATCCTGCATGGGAGTCTCTTGAGATAGTGCAACCTCTACAAAGCCGTTGAAACTCTGAATGCCTATGAGTTTGGCATTCACACGATGCAATCTCTGGCCCCCTATGTGTCCCCCCCCCCTACCCTGGTTGTTTTACGACCTTATATCGGCATGTACGCTATAAGGGAGAGCCTCGAATTCATACTATAGCGAAATCTCAGAAACAACTTTTGTCGTTAACTGTGCCTTCGAGTAATTTAGCGTATGTGGCCTATTCGTTGATTTGCGATGTACATTTCAGTGCTATTATCCTCCCAGTTTGGTTGGCCTGGACATATATAGATCCGAGTTTCGAACCCGCGACTAAGTCTATATGATCCCAATTTCCAGCGTCCAAACCCTTCACTAGCAGGACCTCGCACCTTCTCTACATAAAAGTTCACAAATACCTCCCGATCAGGTGATTTCCCAGCCATCATTCCTGCAGGGGTTCTAGTTTTATTCAAACATCTCTGCATCGTCTGAAGAATGGCAATGATGATATCGGTTGCACAGTTTCCCAGTAGCAACGTCGGCTGCAGTGAGAAAGTGGTGGCTGGAAGGCCGACGAGCGCCATTTTCTAGGTCTCACATTCCATGGAGCCCTACATCTTCCGTTATGATAGCGCTGTCAAATTTGAGAGCGTTTGATTTAGACCTCTTCTGATTCCTGAAAGGATAGTGGACTCCAGATCAGCATCTCCCACGTGCATACCATTTTTCCATCGAAACTCCTCTTTGTTCTTCTGACCCTTTCGGCGAAACGTTGGCACTATTCATGACCCATATGGGTATAAAGAAGCATACCGAGTCTATAAGAAATGGTAGAAGAAACTTTGCAGCGAGAACCTTCAAAAAACGAGAAACTACACCAAATTTCACCAAAGAAAAACGCTCACACTTTACATACTGAACTTAAAGACGCAGTTCATGATAAAAATGGCTTCTGGGATATCCCCATAGGATGAAGGGGCCCTCCCGTACCATATCTGGCGCTATCATGTCGGAAAACCGCCTAGCTAGGGCGTTATAGGGCTCAGAGTGTATCCTCGGACGAGTTTCACCGGCATTGTAGAGGCTGCACAAGTCACAAAGGAACCCGTACAGGAAGTTCAAACAACTTGTCGTGACCCATAGCGGCTGTGAAAGGCAGTTTTGTACAGTTCTGGCTGGATGTAGTCAGCTCTTTGCGCAATTACAACAACCGAAATCTCGTCCGAATAGCCCTTCTATGCTATTTTCGTCATGGAAATCTCGTCCAACCTCTATTTTCCCTACTTTTGACAAGCCCTAGTTTTCTGAAAATCGGCGAATTTTCTCGCTTTTTTCACTAGCATTGAACTATTCCCCTATGCTTCCGCTTTTCGACTGAAAAGGGGTACCTCTAAATTATCGTGAATGGTGCCTTTAAGGAAAAGCTATGAGCGAAATTTCAGGAAAGCGACGAGACAGATGCGCATCAAACTGTCGTTCATGATGTGATCCATTATTCGCCTGAGGGAACAGTTCGCACTCCCACATTCTCTCCAACACCTCACAAATCGGATGTGCCATTCGTTGAGAGAAAATCGAACATTATCCTCAATGACAAGACTGGGTGAGCACCGGACTGGTGATTTATGACGAAGCTCCTCTAATGATTTCCCATTTTCCAGGTACAAAACGATTCGTGTAACGCAGTTCGATGGGTCTGTGGACAGGACTGTAGACAAGAAGATGATGGAGTCAACATCTCCCGAATCGTCACCTCTGCCGTCAGCGATTCGATCAAAGTTCGAGGAATCTCGCCCTCCTGACCAAGTGCCAATGAAAAAGAAGCCAAGCCAAGAAGAGCTCTTCCTTCTGACGACGGAAGACATCGGCGAGTTGCGCAGGGCCGCTGAAATAACGCAAGACTATGGGGCGTTAAAGGCAAAATTCGAACTCTGGCAGGCGCTACAATCGCGGAATCGGAACTCGCCTGAAGCGAGGCAGCTGCATGTGAGACGTTTCCTTTCTTTTCGAATAACGCTGTAGGCAATTCTTGCATTCTAACCCATTTTACGACAACGAAATCGATTTGATGATAGGAGCTCATAAGTAGATAAGGGGGCTGTTAGCGCAGAAGGTAAACGGCGCGGCGACTGTTTGAGAATGACGGTACTGGTTGCCGGCGTGTTATCCTTATCAGAGACAACGAAAGGTCCGTTACAGATGGAACTTATTCACCAGCATGACTCCCTGATGAAGAAGCTACAGCAAGTCACCGACACTGCAGTACCGATGGCAAAAAAACGACCGAGTATAGCCTCAGACACCTTCTCGCCGTGGTTTGTCACTTTTTTCACTTTCTTTCACTTCTACGAGTAGACCAATTAGTAACTGCTGACCCCTTGAGGCTATCAAGTGAAGCTCCAAAGATGTATCAACACTCTCGGCGCCCTGGTTCTAGCGACTCACGTCCGATGGTTTCACATTCCTCGTACTGTTTCTTATTTCTTTTTGCAAAGTCGCCTTCATCACTTTTGAGTGCATCATCTGGTTGCAGGTATTCAGTGACCTCTAGCCATTCTCTTTCGCCCACAACATCGACTTCAAGCGAGGGAACGGAACGATCGGTGATCGTCTCTAAGACATCTCGCTCTACCGCAACAGGTACTGTAAAATGTTTTTCCCCTGTACAAATGGACTTAATCACTGATTAGAATCGATCCTATTCAATGAATTCGGTTTGGCCTCCCATTTTGACTTTTCGGTCGGTGGAATACGCACATATTTCGAAAAACGTCAACTTCTGAGATTAGAAAGCCAACTTACAAGGGGCGTAAACAAACGTCATTGCCCCACGTATCCGAACTTTCCTGAGAATGTGTATTCGGGAGCTGTTGGTCCGGTTACTCGAGGGGTCAGTAGATTGAGTAAAGTCCGTTGGTATTCCATACATACTATGCCATGCTGATTTGTAGCCAAAAGCGGAACAGGTTGATGCATAAATATTGCGGATTTTTTCGTGGCTTCTTTTCTCTCGATTAACTTAAAATTTCGGATTCGGGATTTTTGTAGAAATAATCTTCTCACTTTTCTTAACAGAAATATGTCTAGAAAGTGATCTTCATATACGCCACATTATGCTCTATTACTTCGAAAAATGTTGGAAGGCGACACACACATAACGTGATCTCAACGAACTTCTCGGCGATGGAGCAGTCAGCCAAAGCCGAACAAGGAATGGAATCTGCTTCTACGGTCGCCCTATTCACTACCAGAAACTCCTTGGATTATCACGTCTATCGCCCGTTGAAAAATTGGCCATCGAACAGAACTTTCGACGAAATGGGTGGCTTGATGGCCGACGTCAAGGCGTGGATCGCCTCCAAGAATCGAAGGGAAGCAGTGCTTGACGGTACCGTTCAAAAAGAAATCACCTTAAACCTTTTCTGCCATAACTCATCTCAAACTCAATATTTTTAACTGATTTTTTGACAGCACACTTTCCAAATATTACCAACTTTTCTGCGATGCAGAACTGGCGGTAGCTCACCTCCGGCCATGTAGGTGGATTTTATTTTCGAAAATATTGCGAGAGGGGCATGTTCTCGAGGTAGGTTTCATTGGATTTTCCAAGTCCAAAAATTATGGTGACTCTTCCATTCTGTTAGCTAATCGCTCTCAGTGAAGAGACAGAACTCTGGCTCTCGCTTTCTGACCGTGGAGCAGCTCTCCCCCATTGCCACAGGCAGTTAGCAGGAATTGACATATGCTCAACATCCAAGGCTGTTTGCTGTACCATTGTCTACGATTACGAAGCCTATCAGAGGTATCGAGTCTCCCATAGGCCCAAACAAGCGAGCCAGCTAGGGAAGGTTACGGATTGCCGCTCCTGAGGACGATAGGAAGATCATTTGTGCGTCGACTCAAAATTCCAGACGAGGGTCTTCCGATATAATTGCCGAAATATCGACGACGGCGACGTCGCTACCATCTAGAGGTACCATCAACAGACACCTGTGGGTTGCTGGAATATATGGAGGAAGACATGTCAAAAAGTATCTGGATCTATGAAAAAACAGACGAGCTCGACTTTAATGGGTACGTGAGCACCTTCACTGGACCTTCAACCATTGATGCGAAGTCATCTAGAGCGACTAGTCAAAGATTATCTGCTTGCTACACTTGGGTTTCGTTCGTAGACAACCTTTTAAAACATAAGTTTCGACCCCAAGTACTATTTGACAACTCTCAGGCATGTTGCCGGCTCAGTATTGGTTTGGGGATGGTCTTCGAGTCTAGGCATGGGGTCCATGCACCACATTCTCACCACCACGGCCCAGTAGATGTACGTAGACATTTTGAAGAAATCCATGCTACCTTTTCCCGTCCTGTGCACGGAAGAAAATTCACTTTCCAGCGAGATACGACTTTGGACACAGATCTAGAAGGGGCGCGTGAGTGGCTGACTCATCGGGAAATTTGATGTCTTGACTCATCCATCCAGTCCCCTGACCTGAACATCAGTGGACTCTCGTGGTAAAAACTCAAGAAAAGGATAGCCCATAAAACAGTCACAAATGCTGCTCTGAAGTTTGACCTGTTTGAAGAAGAATGGAAGGAAATCGATGAGTGCCTGATCGACAAGTTGGTCGAATCAATGCCCCGCAGATACCAAGCCGTCATCGATGTCAATAGCTTTACTGCGAAGTATAAGTCTAGTAGTTAATTAGGTTTTAATCTCATGATGGTAGCGTTCAAGTCAAGTGATTTACTTCAAATTATTGAAACTGATGTTATCTTGCCCTGTTCAGAAAAAATGTGAAAAGTGGCCTTTTAAACGATATAAAAAAGAGTTTTATGAGTTCTGTGATGGAGACATCAAATATTATTACTGTTGACAACATATCAAAAAAACAGTCAAAAACATTGCCTTCGAGATGAGTTATGGCAAAAAAGGTTCGAGGTGATCTCTTTTTGAACGGTACTGTAGATTGTGGATAAGTTCCGGAGTAATTATTTGAACATGTGTGTTGTTAGATATTCTTATCGTTTTTGAAAAAAAAAATTTGCTGAAAAAATCCGCATTAATTATGCATAAACCTAATGCTTGGCAAATCGAAAGTTCGAAAATGACGCCGAGTGTAATCGAAAGTTTGAAAATGACGCCGAATATAATCGAAAGTTTGAAAATGACGCCGAGTGTAACCGGGAAGCGCTTTGCGCGTTGTCGCTGTAGCCATCTGCTTGTTAACCTGTTGTATGCTACAATAATAAAGCTCCTTAAAAGTTCCTGGTTGAAAACAGCTGGTGAATGCTCCTAAAAAGGGGAAATTTTGGTCCACTGACAATAACCATCTTTTCTGCTTACAGGTCATTCCGTTTCGCCGAATATTCGTCGAACGGAAGTCGCAAGGGAGAAGCATCAGCCGTTCTCGAGACCGCAGATTTTCACGGAGGAGGTGATTTCGAGAGAAGAGGAGCGAGAACGCGCTCTACAACGCATCATTGAAGAGGCAAAGGAATTGAAGCGGAAGGAACATGAACTGCGCGAAGCTAACGGTACTGTCACATCGGCGTCAAAGAGGCCAGCTGTTCACACGCCAACTCCGAGACGCGCAGAGCCTCCGTCGTCTCAGAAATCACCCAGAACTGATGCAAGAACGACTCGGACCCACGTTCAGAAGGTTGCTCATCAAATACAGTCATCCGATGGGAACAACAATTCAATCCGCAATAGAACAAGCACACCGATCAGCAGCTTAGCAACCCTCAAGCGTGACACCCCGACAGTTTTTCCTGTACGGCCTCTTGTCCAGAACAGGCATCATTACCCTCCCGTAAAAGCTATTCACACCAACGAAATCGTGTATGAGACATGGAGTGGCTCTAGGTCGGGTCATCTTCCTCGAAGCCAACCCTTCAAAACTCCACCGCCGCAAAAGCACGAGAAGTCAAAGACGTCCAGGCCTGCTCTACCACCTTTCACTGCTAGCTCTCCCTCCCTTGCTGGACAGGCGGTTAATAAGGAGTCCCTAACGGTGGGGAGAAAAATCAACACGTCATCCTCAGCACTTCATCCGCAAATATCTCAGACATCCGCTGCCTCGATCAAACCTACTCCAGCGAAACTGCCATTGGCAGCTCTTCGGGCTCTTTCATCCGAAACTTCGGAAAGTTCACCGTCACCACTCAGTCCAGATGTTGAATCGAACATCCGAAAAGTGAAAGAGTCTGTTAAACAACAGACTCTGAGCCGTAAAGCGGCCAACGAAATACTGCTAAAGTCGCAATCAGAAAGTTCTTCGATTGCGGTTGCCACAGCTGAGAGTTCAGCCACCTCGGGAAACTCTCCTATTGTTAGGGTCGGAGAAAATGGAACCTCAATCTTTGTCAGATCAACTTCCGAAAATGGAGAAACTACCAACAACATCGCAAATATGCTCAAGCAAGGTCTTCCCGCACTCAAAAAAGTCGGGACACCAGTCGAGAAAGGCGGTATAGTTCTTGGAAAAGTGCTCGACTCCAGCACGGAAAATGCTGTGGTGAGTTTTTTGGAACCGAATAGTTGTCAAATTTTCAGTTCACTTCCAACTAGCTTTGTCCGCCCATTTCGATTGCAGTTTCAGCAGGAAACAGTTTTTGCTCAGCTGCCTCCACTCACTCCACCGCCACCTCCTCCTCCTCCACCACCTCCTACTCTATTTGCCTCTTGTTCACGCCCACCTTCTAACCCTATTCCAAGGTAAGATTAGTCGGTTTTTATTTGTTCAGAATTGTTTTGAACGAACTCAGCACTCACTGGAATTCACTGAGCATAAATACAGAAGTGAAGGGGCTCTACGGCCCATATTGACGTGAACAATGTTTTTAGACGTCAACCCGCACCACAGTCGCTTCCTCATTCCACCTCGTTGATTTCAATGAGAGATTTGGAGCGCCAAAAAACCAAACTCAAACCGGCCGTTGTCGTGAGTTATTACAAACGTGTTTAGTTTTTCTTTCGTATTCTCATTAAATGTCTTACAGACGGAAAAGCCTGTCGTTCCCATGGATGTTCGAGATAGTCTTATGGCCGAAATCAGGAATGCGGGAGGGATTCGCGCTCTTCGCAGAACACCCCGAATGTGAACAATCAGAACTACCCAGCTCAAACGGAGATGTATTTGATGGTCCAAAGTATATGTGTGTGATATTATTATGAGAGTGAAATGAACGAGTTTAAAATATGCCCATCGCCCGATACAACCTAGGAATGTTGAGTGCTACACAAGAACCTTGGGCTTTGCATTTGAGGAAAGATTTCGCAGGTAGCTATCATGTCAGAATCTCAATTGGTGTGAAACAACCACGGTCAAGCATATCACCAAATCGGTCAATCGCTGCTTACCATCGATTGGTGTCCTCCCAGGCAATTTCGAGTCAATCCATCAAATCAAAGAACCTTTTTTTGGCTCTATTCGAGATTTGAAACGTAGAAAATACATGGCTTTCTTCATGTGTTCGTGGTAGGACCCGCATAGAGCCGGGGTGACCGACATCTCAATGGCTGCTTTCATAGTCCACGATTTGGCTTGCGAGCGAGCGAACGATTACGCTTGCCCCTTGTTTACAACTGAACCTTGGTCGATGTCGCGGGTAAGCACCGCCCCAATCGCTCGATCGCTCGCTCGCGGGCCAAATCGTGAACTATGAAAGCGGCCAATGACTCAGCGACGAAAAAAGCGAGCAGTGGGAAGTACAACGACCATTGGCCTGAAAGTTTTGCGGTTAAATTACTTATTATGGAAAGCAAACAGCATAGTTGATGAGGAACACTTTTTGCTCAGTACCTAGTACCATTGGTAAGAACCACATGGGGGACTCCTTAATCACCTTCTTCAGGAGGATGGAATTCGGAAAAACTTTCACAGCGAGGAAGTTTACAAAGTTCCTTCCATCGATTAAGATTTCCAGACTGAAGCCATTCAGACTTTCTTACCAACCAAACGTATACCCTAGGGAGCAGTGCCTGAAACGCTATGTTCTTCTAGAACCACGGGTTTTCACAAATAAATTATTTACTTGCAGATATATGACAGCAATTTACATTGGATGTTCTCTATTACTGAGAGATCTCTAGTCCCTAGTTGGTGACGAGACAACTTAGAGCGTTCTAGGTGACGAATAGGGGAGTAAGTCGGGGACCAAAAGCCAGCGGCTCTTGGGCAGCGGTCAGAGGCGCAGGTCGATTTGGGGTATGGATTTGCTCTTTCTGATGTGCAGAAAAAGCATCTTCTGTATCTCGCAGATGTATCCGTGTGTGGAGAATCTGCGTTTGGTATCCTGCACTTCAGCTCGGCCAAAAGCATGCATTCGACAATTTGGGAAGTATTCGTGAAGCCAATTTGACGTTCGAAAAGTTGAAGCCCCTTGTCCACTTTGGGATAGCCTGGCTACCTAGCCGGGGTCAACCTAGCCCACACTTCAGAGCCTGGCAAGCTACTCGTGGGTGTGCATATACCGAAGCAATAATATATGTACATCGGTCTCTTCCCCCTGAACCAGAAGGAGCCCCAATACGGCAGCGTTGGGTAAGAACCCTCGAAAGAGGGTGCAAAAATCTTAGAACCAAACAGGCATGCCAATTGGAAAAGGCCGAGATTTCGATTTGAACTCTCAACGCAAGAACGCTTGCATCGGAAGCCTTATCAAAGATTTGGTAATGCGAGCTAGGAAGATCAAGTGCGAGATAATCGGAGTGGAGAAGGCATCGCCCGCTGCACGCTGTATTCGAAACTAGAGAAGAATTGTTCCGGAACATGCGATATCAGAGGCGTCGGCATTGTAGGTGACTTCGTCATTACGCACCTGGCCATGAAATTCGATTCGTACGAAAGCTTGACAACACAAACCGAAAGTTGCGATTGGGAAAATGTGTTTCAATCCCAGCTCTTTGTTGCCTACGCAATAAAACCAAGCTACGAAGAAGAAGAGCTGGAAGCGTTGTGCATGAATCCGGAAAGGTTTCTGGAGAAAACTACACTTCCTTGAAGGTCGTCGTCGCAGATTTCTTACTAGGGAAGGATCCCAAGTCGAAGTGGCCATTTGAAATGGTACCTATACTACTAGGCGTATTTTTTGATGCTGATTTCAAATCTGCATTCAAAATCTGCCAAACGATTCTCTGAACGAAGTTAT